GATAGGATTGTCACCGCTGTTGCTTCTGCTCTACGCAATACAGATAAAGGTTGTAGTATAGAGCGGGCTACTAAATTAGGAGCTAAAGTATTTACAAGCACAGCTGATCCAGTAGAAGCAGAATCATGGATGGTGAGGATTGAAAGAATATTTGATGTGATGGATTGTCCTGATGATCGAAAATTATGACTAGCTACTTTCTTATTAGAAGGAAGTGCTTATGATTGGTGGAGGTCGTACAGAGTAAATATGTTGATCCTTCTATGATCACGTGGGGCGAGTTTAAAGATGATTTTAATGAGCATTTCTCCCTCGTTCTTACAAGATTGACAAACAGAATGAATTTTTGAGACTAGTACAAACATCAACAGTGGCGGAGTATCAAAAGAAATTTCTAGAATTATCAAAGTATGTTGCTGCTCTTGTAGCTAATGAAGTTGATAAATGCAGAAGATTTAAGTATGGCCTGAGAGAAGAAATTAGATCAGTGGTGACTGCGTCTGGGTATGAAAATTTGGGTAAACTTGTAGAAGCAACATTAAGGGTTGAGAAAATTTTTTCTGAACGACATGGTGGTCAACAACAAATAAGACCGGGAATTGGATGCAGTAGTCAGACATGGACAGGAAGATCTATGACTAGGCCACCGAGGAGGGATCGCAGAGGAGGCAGATTAGGTATTCCACTTCTGGTAGTTTTAAGTCAGGGCCCGAGGTCGAGTCAGGGATCAGTACAACAGCGAGGGAGTAACCGTACTCGGACTAAGAGATCATTTACTCCTGGACAAAGTGATAGCTATAGTGTGGCTAAATTCTCCTCGGGGCCAGTTGTGCGGGAAATTTCACCTTGGTGAGTGTTTTAAGGGAATTGGAGTGTGTTATCATTATGGTCAGACGGGACACATGAAGAGAGAGTATCCAGTTCGTTTCCAGCAGGGTGGCATACCACAGGGGGTTTCTTTGCAGTCGGGTGCTGGCATTTTTAGACAGAATCAGAATCAGAATCAGAATACTTTGGCAGGTAAAGCAGGTGCTACTACTGCTACTCAGTCTGATGCTGCTAGCAGCAGTGGTACTAAATAGAAAAGCCAGGCTGGACAACCCAGACTCAGGGAAGAGTGTTTGCAGTGACTCAGCATGATGCCGACGAGTCACCTGATGTGGTTATGGGTATGTTATCTATTTTTGGAAAAAAAGGCCCGTTCATTAATAGATTCAGGGTGCTACACATTCATTATATCTTATGCATTTGCTATTTATGCGGACCACATGTCAGAATCATTAGATGGTGATTTGATGGTAGCAACTCCTGTAGGAGATTCACTTTTAGCTAACAGTGTGTACAAAGATTGCATGATTAGAGTGAATGATCATGAGTTGAAAGCTAATTTGATTCCACTTGATATTCATGATTTTGATGTGATATTGGGCATGGATTTTTTGTTTGTAAATCATGCATTAGTTGATTGTTTTCGCAAAGAAGTGGTGTTTCGAAGGCCAGAAGAGCCTGAAATTGTTTTTAGTGGTAAACGGAGAATACTACCTTCGTTTATCATATCAGCACTTGATGCTAGGAGATTGCTTAGAAAAGGTTGTCAAGCATATTTAGCTCATGTGATTGACACCCAGATCACTAAATTGAAACTTGAAGATATACCAATGGTAAAAGATTTCCCTGATGTTTTTCCTGAAGATCTTCCAGGGTTACCTCCTGATAGGGAAATCGAATTTACTATTGATTTGATTCCAAGGATTATCCCTATTTCACAATCACCTTACAGAATGGCTCCAGCAGAGCTGAAAGAATTGAAAGTTCAGTTGCAGGATGTAGTTGATAAGAGTTTCATTAGACCCAGTGTATCTCCATGGGGAGCTCCAGTCTTATTTGTGAAGAAGAAAGATGGCACAATGAGATTGTGTATTGACTACAGACAGTTGAATAAAGTGACAGTCCGCAAAAAGTATCCGTTGCCTCATATTGATGATTTGTTTGACCAACTTAGGGGTGCCTCAGTGTTTTCGAAGATTGATTTACGATCGGGGTATCATCAGCTCAGAATTAGAGATATTGATGCACCAAAAACTTCTTTTAGGTCACGGTATGGCCATTATGAGTTTTTGGTGATGCCATTTAGGTTGACTAATGCCCCTGCAGCGTTTATGGACTTGATGAATAGAGTGCTTCGCCCATATTTAGACAGATTTGTGATTGTTTTTATTGATGATATCTTAGTTTATTCTCGCAGTAGGGATGAGCATGCTAAGCATTTGAGGATTATTTTGCAGACTTTGCGAGATAACAGTTGTATGCTAAGTTCAACAAATGTGAATTTTGGCTGGATAAAGTTGTATTTTTGGGTCAGGTTATCTCAGCTGAAGGTATTTATGTAGATCCTCAGAAAATTGAAGCAGTAACGAAATGGGAACGCCCTACTAATGTTACAGAAGTACGGAGTTTTCTTGGGTTAGCAGGTTATTATCGTCGATTTGTAGGGGATTTTTCCAAAATTACTCTTCCTTTGACTAGTTTGACTCGAAAGAACTCCAAATTTGTGTGGACTGATGAATGTGAAAAGAGTGTTCAAGAGTTGAAGAAAAGATTAGTTTCTGCTCCTATACTTACTCTTCCATCTCCAGGTGAAGAGTTTGTGATTTATAGTGATGCTTCACGCTAAGGATTGGGTTGTGTTCTAATGCAGAATGGGAAAGTTGTAGCTTACGCTTCTAGACGATTGAAGAAGCATGAGTTAAATTACCCAACTCATGATTTGGAGTTAGCTACAGTAGTGTTGGCATTGAAGATTTGGAGACATTATCTTTATGGTGAGAAATGTCAAAGATTTACTGACCACAAAAGTTTAAAGTATATATTTGATCAGAAAGAACTGAATTTAAGGCAAAGGAAATGGCTGGAGTTGATAAAGGATTATGATTGTAAGATTGACTACCATCCGGGGAAAACAAATGTAGTTGCAGATGCTCTCAGTAGAAAGACAAGTTCATCCTCTCCATCAAGTGCAGTTTATGCTTCTTTGAGTTTAAAAAGTTACACACTAAGTTGACAACTACTACTTTAGGGGTGGTATTAGCTCATTTTCAGGTGAGGCCTACTTTGATTGATAAGGTTAGAGAAACTCAATCTCAAGACCAGACATTGGGAATATTGAAAGCAGAAGTTAGTATTGGGCTAAGAACGAATTATGTGATTAGAGATGATGGGGGCGTTGGCTATGGGTAATAGATTATGTGTTCCAGATATTCCAGAATTGAAGAAAGAGATTTTGGAAGAAGCACACAGTTCTGCTTATGCTTTGCATCCAGGTAGTATTAAAATGTATCATACATTGAAAGATCATTATTGGTGGCTTGGTATGAATAGAGAGATAGCAGATTTTGTATCCAAATGTCTTATATGTCAGCAGGTAAAGCCAGTTTGTTAGAAAACAACACGACTTTTACAGCAATTGCCTATCCCAGAATGGAAATGGGAACTCATTACTATGGACTTTTTATTTGGCCTTCCTCGTACTCAGAATAGTGATGATGGAGTTTGGGTTATCGTAGATCGTTTGACCAAGACGGCCAAATTTATGCCAATTAAAGCTACTTATACTTTAAATAAGTTGGCAAAGTTGTATGCCGATGAGATAGTGAGCTCTTATGATACTCATTTATCTATTGTGTCAGATAGAGACCCTCGTTTTACATCTAAATTTTAACCCAGTTTGTAGGAAGCCATGGGTACTAAACTACATTTCAGTACAGCTTTTCATCCTCAAACAGATGGCTAGTCAAAGAGGACCATACAGACTTTTAAGGATATGTTGAGGGCTTATGTTTTAGAGCTCAAGGATAGCTGGGATACTCATTTGTCATTGATGGAGTTTGCTTATAATAACAACTACCACTCTAGTATAAAAATGACTCCTTTTGAAGCTTTATATGGTCGGAAGTGCAGGACACCAGTTTGTTGGGATAAAGCTGGTAAGAAGAAGTTAGAAGGCCCGGAATTGGTTCAAATAACATCTAAAAATGTGAAATTGATCAAAGAAAAGTTGAATGCAGCTCAAGAGAGACAGAAATTTTATGCCGATAGGCACAGGAAAGATTTTGAATTTGTAGTTGGAGATAAAGTCTTTCTTAAATTGTCACCTTGAAAAGAAGTGTTGAGATTTGGTAAGCGAGGAAAGTTGAGTCCATGAGACATTGGACCCTATGAGATTACTGAGCGGATTGGCCCAGTTGCATACCGATTAGATCTGCCCGATGAATTATCCCGAATCCATGATGTTTTTCATGTTTCCATGCTTCGCAAGTATATTGCGGATCCTTCTCATGTTCTAGAGTCTCAACCAATCCAGTTGAAGGAAAATTTAACATATATATAAGAGCCCGTGAGAATTTTAGACAAAAAGGTGCAAATTCAGCAAAATCAGACAGTTTCACTTGTTAAAGTACTTTGGTAGAATCAGATAGTAGAAGAGGCTACGTGAGAAATGAGGATCAGATGCGTGCTCAATATCCTCACTTATTCATTACCCAGTCAGTTACCAGTTAAATTTCGAGGACGAAATTCTTTTAAGGAGGTAAGATTGTTACAACCCACATTTTTATCTAATCAAAGTCAATAGTGAAATTTTCAAAGTCAAGTCAATTAAGGACTAAAATGAAATTAAATATTTTATTTGGGTTTATTTTGCAATTGGCAAAATATGGAGGTTAAATTGGATACATTTTAAAGTTGGGAATTTACTTATATATTTTTGGAAGTTATAGGATTAAATGTCATTAAAAAAGGGAGTTGAAGGACTTATTTTGCAATTTTGGATAAGTGGACCATTATATTCAACCATTGACCCATTTTCACTCAAAAACACACGCACACACATTGAAGAAAAATGGGCAGAAGGCTGGAAGGCCGAGAAAAAAGGGAAAAATTAGGGAAAAAGGGAAGGAAAAAAAAAAAGAAGGAAGGAAGGAAAGAAGAAAAGGGAAGAAGAAGAAGAAGAAAAGTGGTAAGGCTAATCTCTTCAAGCTTGGGTTGAATTTTTCCATTTGTTTCAAGTGATAAAGTATGAATTATGTTAAAATTCTAGGGTTTTATTTTGACTCGAAATTTTCAGATTTTTGAGATGAATACTACTTGGAGCTCAAGTTATTGATTCTTGAATTTCTATCTACATTAAGGTAAGGAGATGTCAATTTTTTTGGACAAACCCTAGTTTTTAAATTTGATGATTGAGCATGAATTATTTGTGGAAATGATTACATTAATGGAATTATTCACTTGGGAATTGATTTTATGGAACAAAATGTATATTAAATAGGTGGAATTATGGTTACTAGTTTCACTTGATTGGAGAGTAAAATTACTTTTAAACTTGGGAAGAAGGTTTTGTTGATGAATTAGTTATTAGAAAAGGGATTAGAAGTGGGATTAGCTCCAATTGATCAAAAGAATATTTGGGAAATTCATTCGAGCATCGACCAATTTTAGTTAAGTATTATGGAAGTAGATCTTAAAGTTTCTTAATTTAATAGTTGTTGATTAGTCATCTTGTTATATATTCCAGGTGGTGACGAGGAGATTGGAAGAGCCTATCAACCATCTTCGGTTCAACTTGTATTATGTGAGTAGATAAGCTTATTTTTCAGAAATTAATATTTATTTAATTTATATTAACTCAGAAAATTTATTAATTCATACAGTTGATTTGACAACAAGATTTTCAGAATAAAGTTGATTTATAACCAGTTGTTTTTAAAAGTTAAATTCAATTTAGTAAATCATTTTATTAGCATGTTATATGAGTATTATATGTTTCAGAATATTTAAAGTTATTTTCTATAAACCATCAGAAAGTACTCAGGTGATTTTACCCTCGTCTGCATTGGTGTGAATGTGTTTCCACAGTGTATGACTTCATATGGTTATTTTACCCACTCTGCGCTGGTGTGAATGTGTTTCCACAACGTATGATCAGTTTAGTAATTTTACCCACTCTACACTATTGTGAATGTGTTTCCATAGTGTATGACCATTGTATAGCTCTACGTGCGTACGACCAAAATTTCAAAATTACAGAATTTCAGAATTGAATAACTTTGCTATGTATATCAAGATTAATCGATACACGAGTATGGTTATTCCAGGTACATTTTTGGTGTGATGTTTCAGTATTACATAGCTTATCATATTTTAGAAATGTAGTATACAGAATAAAAATGTTTATGATTATAGTATATTTTAGTTTTGATAGTATTATTAAATTCTAAGCTACAGAATTCAGCTTATTCAATTTAAAGAATAAATATTTTAGTTTATATGTCTGTGAAAAGAAATTTTATGCTATATGTCGATTTTCAGAAAGATTTAATGAATGGAAAGGTATACTTTTACAAGTATCCACTCACTGCGTTATAGACTCACATTTTTTATCACTATCAGATAGTAGCTGAGTTGAGCACTACTGGGCCAGTTGATCTATCGAGTTGAACAAAAAATTGTCAAGCATTGTATGAATCATCTTTTCAGTTTAATAGTTCATATTTTGGGATAGACACCTCTTTTGATCAGAAACTAGTTTCATGTGTTGAGCTTGCTATGTTTTGTATATATATTATGTCATTTGGGTACTGTGGTTTAGAAATTGTTGCAAAAGTCGAATTGTCAGTGTTGTATTTGAATAGTTGATATTTTTAGGGGCTGGTGTACCCTGTTTTAAATTATATGTACGTGTTTGGGATATTTGATTTTATTTTCAGGTGGTTTTAGTCTATTTTTCAGGAGGAGCTCTGTCAAAATTTTTATAAAATTATAACAGTCAAAGCATGTCAAGTTTGCCTTGGTAGTGGGTCCTGCACTTCACTAGTATCTACCATCGGCGCACAACACGTGTCGGAACCATTAGGGTGATCGGGACAGATCGTGTCACTTATACTATATTAAGATTTAAAATTTCATCTTATAAACTCAACTTTATTAAAAGGAGTAACACAAACTCTTATATATTGATCTATATTTTCATTTTTATTTAATGTGAGATTTATTCATAACACACGCTTGGGGTAATGGATCCATCAAGTGGCGAAGTCGGCTGTACGTCATGGTTGTATTGAATTTGAACGATGATGACCCTTTTTTCATTTTTAGTTCCTTGTCATGTATTTTGTGTCCACGTAGGAAATCTCGGTAACAATTTAGGGAAAGTAGCAGCACTGGTCCCAAACCGTTCATTTTGCCCCAAATTACTCGCTAACCTCTCATTTTTATGGCTGTAGTCCCAAACGTTTATACTTAACCGCAACCTTGGTCAAAATCCCTGATTCCATTCATAATACTATTAGGCAACATTGGAATGGTAGTTTTGACTCAAATGGACAACTTGAGTGAGGGTCAAAATTGTCAAAACAAGTCATCTAATAATTAAACAAAAAAAATAATAATAATAAATAAATCAAATCAACTTTTGTCTTCTCCAAATACCCCATCCCCAACCTCGAAACCCAGACTCAAATCCTTTCCACCTCTTTTATGGTGAAGGATAGTTCAATTTGATTCATCAAATTACCAAGAAAATTCATCAAAATTTTCCATCTTTGAAGCACAAATCCTTTCCACCTCTTCTTTGGTGAAGTTTAGTTCAATTTAGTTCATCATATTACCAAGAAAATTCATCAAATTTGTCCATCTTTAGAGAAGCAGAGAGGTTTTAAAATCAACAAGTGAAGCCATGTATCAACTAACACCCCATGGCCGATCTTGGCCCCTTCCTTTCACGCTAGAGATCTTCAGCTCCACCACCACCAGTTCCGGGAAAAAGAATCCCGAAGTTGAACAGAGTGGAATTATGCAATTTCCTCAACTACCACAAGATCGAACACTCCCCCCACTAGAAGTAAAGATCTAGTGCCAATCTTCGTGAAAGTCGATGTTACAAGTAGATGTCCCTCAATTAAATTGTCCATTTGAGTCAAAATTACTATTTCAATGTTGGCTAACAGTATTATGGTCGAAATTAGTGATTTGGACAACAACTGCAATTATGTATAAAGGTTTGGGACTATGGCCCCAACAAATAAAGTTTAGGGTATAATCTATTGCAAAATGAAAGGTTTGGGACCAACGTTGCAATTTTTCCAACAATTTATTAACATCCTTTGAACTTGTTTGTTATTACTTTTTAAGTGTTTACATACAATACTTCCTATCGATTGTAAGATAATAAGTTGATAGTAGGTCATGATCACATAGACATTATGAAATATGTTAAATAGAACGTATTTTCGACTAACGTTAAAAAATTAAGCACACCGAAACATTCATCATGTAAAAAATATTTCACCATCAACAATATGCTAACATCATGTGTCAACATGAATTATGGTAATACACTACAATTGAACTCTCACGTCAATTTAAATGAATCATCCTAATAAATATTTGTCGGAATAGCAAGTTACAAATTAAACAATGAGCTAATACTCAAACGTCCGTATAGGAATCACTTTTTGTCGCCAATAGTTAGGGTTGACAACGAGACGAGTCGGGACGGGTTGGTCATTCTCATTACCGTCTCATCGAGTATTTTTATCACCTTATCTAACCTTCATACACAGTTAAGACAGGGTGGGACGGGTCCAGGCGAGATCAGAGTGGCGAGTCCCATATCACATTTACAACCCCGTTTGTTTGTTTGTTTATTGTTTCTTTGTTTTACTATATTTCGTTTCTTATGTCTTTACCTAATGAAAATTATTATTATTATTATTATTATTATTATTATTATTATTATTATTATTATTATTATTTTCAATTTGTAAAGAATAACTCATGTTCCCTTTAGATATGATAATAATTCTTTTCTTTTTATTTAATAAAAACTTAAACTTTAAACAAATTTAAAATGGGATGGGTAGGGAAAGGAGAGTCCCCATCCTCACCCCGTTTACCTAATTAGGTGAGTAATCCTCGTCCTGGTCGGGGTGGGTATTGAGTATAATGAATTTTTTTATCATCCTTACTAATAGTTATTGGTAAGTGAAAATTTATGCCACGCCCCATATTTGACAACCATTTTTTTAACAATGATGCTTGATGTACGAGTAATGCTATTTGCAATAGTTCACGGCTATAGTTGCTTTACATGATATACATGTGGCGGTTAGTAATTTGATACACTACTGTGGTAATTTTTTTTATTATCTTCTACAACAAATCACTAATAGCTACATATATGCCATGTAGGATGGCTGAGACAGTGAATGACTACAGATAACATTATTCTTAATGTATATTTTGTTTGACATTATGATTTACACATTGACACATGACAAAATGTAATTTGACAATTTTAAAAATAAAACAGTCTTGGAGCCAATCACTTTTTACAACGCATCAAATATCAATGTAAACTTAAGAATGTACAAATGACAAAATCCTATTTTTAAGCTCTTTTTTTCTGTATACTCATTTTTAATCACGTATTCACACAATAAATATTCTACATGTAAATCTAAAAATTTTCCGTACTTTTACCACACATTTTCTACAAGACACTACTCAAATCTTTGTTTTCTTCAATTAATGATTGTCAAACAGGAGTTTAAACTGAAATTGTGTGACCCAATTGACCGGAAGTGGAGTTTACCTACTTTGCACATTCGAATTATGTCATTAAAGTCAATAATCAAATAACAAATTAATCGAATATTCTGTTTACGATTCTCCCACATAAAAATCAAATAATAAAGGCTTAAATCATGGGATCACATTATCATTCAAACCGTTAAATTCCAAGTTTATTTCCTTTCCAGGCACGTTAATGATCCCAAACTATACAAAATACGTGTGAACAAAGATTAACCAAAGCGTTCGGGCACAGCCGTCTTCCTTAAAACTCTGTTGTCGCTGTCCACACGTCATAATCTCATTTGAAAAGACGAATACCATATTGTTTCTTTTTGGCAAGAAATCAAGTTTGCTTTTCACGCAGTTCACACTACTCCACCACTTAAAAGCCTGATAATTCGTCTATTTATTGCACCTTTATGGCTACGCTGGATTTTACTATAGGCAAAAATCTTGGCAATTTGAAGCAGGGAAGCCGAAATGGAATTCTGCAGAAGTCAGATACTAGCTCTTGTAGCTTTGTTTCTATTTCCAGTGGCTTATGGATGGGGAATCGATGGCCATCTCATTACTTGTCGAATTGCCCAGGTTCTCGACTGTCCAGTATTGAAAGGAGTTCGTATTTCCAAATGTATTTTTCGATGTAATTCCCCAGCAGATGCTGTGGAGAATTTATTGCCAGCCTATGCAGATAATGATCTGGGGAGCGTTTGTGCGTGGGCAGACCGTGTCAAGTTCCATTATCACTGGTCGTCCGCTCTTCATTTTATCGACACCCCGGATAATCTCTGCACATATCAATACAGCAGTGAGCATTTATTCTGGCTTCTTTATTTCATAAAATTTGAACCTTTATTTTTCTCTGTTTTGGGGATCAACCATTTAGAACTTATATAAGATACAGGAATACTAACACCATATAATTAATGTATATGCAGGGGATTGCAAGGATGAAGATGGCATAAAAGATAGATGTGTAGCGGGAGCTATCAACAACTACACCACTCAGCTTCTCACCTATGGCAATGAAAATTCTGCTTCTCAGTGTAATCAATCAACAAAATCCTCTTCTTTTTGAGCTGCAATTTTTTTCCTTTTTGCTGGATATTTCTCCTTTAAAAAGGATCTAGTTAATTCGATCTCGAGAATAGTAGTGTTGAACTAATCACAGTAATGAAAACAAGAATGTGTATAACAAAGTTTAAATAAGTCAGTTAGGGCCTTACATATCCTTTAGTGATTAGTTACCCCCTTTACCATTCAAAGCCATATGAGTTGGACTCGAATTACTTGTTTCTCGGGTTTTCTACTGTTTTCTATAAACATTAAATTCTTAAGTTTATGGCTTAACCTAATTTCCCCTGCCTGCCACAGGATGTTATATTGATGAGTGCCTAATCAATAGTATATGATTATTTGACTGATAAAAAGGTTTCATGGCTTGAATAATGACAGATAATTTAACAGAAGCACTTCTCTTCCTTTCTCATTTTATGGGAGATATTCATCAGGTTGGTAATTCAAATAATGGGTCAAGTCCACACAGTTATATGTTTTGATTTATAAGGGTTTTGTTAGATTATCCCCTTTTTAGTTACAATCCCTGAATTATTTCTGCAACCAGCCTCTACATGTAGGATTTACTTCCGATAGGGGTGCAAATACAATCGACGTCCATTGGTACACGAGAAAAACAGTTCTTCATCATGTAAGTATTTTGTACAAAACAAACACACGCAACAATCCGGCATCCTATAAAAACTTTGAAAACTGTATTCTTACTTGCAACAACGCAGGTGTGGGACAATAGCATAATCGAGACAGAAGAAGAAAGATTCTATGATTCCAATGTAAATGAAATGATTGATGCAATCCAAAAAAACATAACGGTACCTTATTTTCGATTTCCTTCCTTAGAAGTTGAACACTCTCAAATCTCAATGTTTTGCTTCAAATCCTGACCTTTTGTCTTCTCGTGATGCTTGGCAGACAGTATGGGCCAAACAAGCAAAAGCATGGGAGGCCTGCAGCAAGACAACTTGCCCAGATCTGTATGTTTGATCACACACAAAACAAATGATTATTCTGAACTAAAAGTTGAAACTTTATAGGATTGACAGATAAATTTAATGTTAAGAATGCTCGAAAACATGTTTGTGCCACCTGCAGATATGCATCAGAAGGTATAAAAGCAGCCTGTGATTGGGCATATAAAGGTGTGCATGAAGATTCGGTGCTTGAAGGTAAAGTTTTTAACATTTTAAATAATAATAGTAACTAGCTAATGAGTTCATTTATTTGAATCCTAAATCATTATAAAATGACACAAGCAAACAATTGCAGATGACTATTTCCTTACCCGTTCACCAATGGTCAATTTGCGGCTAGCTCAGGGTGGAGTTCGTTTGGCAGCAACGCTTAACCGCATATTCGGATGACAAGTATATCGGCCATGCTCTGAAACAGCATGTAGGAAAAATCATGCTAGAATTCAACACCACATCTAAATGTAAGCGGGTGACAAAAATGAGCATAAATCACTGTTTCTTTATCATGTAATAAAAAAAATCAACCAATTTGCATTTCAAATATAAAAGTATTTCACATTTTACAAGCATCGTCCAATATGTTGGCCCAAAAATTATTCACGTACATAGAAACATAGGATATTTACAAGATAATATAATGCTCTTATTCCACAATAGATCTTGACACAAGTGAAATGGATAAAAACTCTATCTATTTCATGCTTTCTTCTTCACAACAAGAACCTGGCACTTGGCATTGTGAACATAGTAGTTGCTGATGCTTCGCAGGAATGCCCTGTTTCATATTCCGAGAAAAATATACTTTTAAAATTTATTGTTTGTCGCAGAAAGCTCATAAATCAGACATCAAAGAGCTATGTTATCATTTATCATGCCTAGCCGCCTAACTGTTCGTTCTATTTGATATTATTGTTGGAATTGGTTCAAAAATACCCAAAAATTGGTTAAGGGTAAAATTGGAAAAATGAAAAAGTGTGACTTCGTATCAACTTCGACCAAATATTTGGACTTGATCCAATGATCAAATTACACAAGTAAATAGACCAACTTATTTTATTCGTCGAGTAGATCGTTGTGGTATATTTGGAATCTCGAAACCAATTCCGGATGAATGAGAAATTATGATTCAAATTTGGAAGAGATGAAGTGTTGCAACTTTTCGAAATGATACAGATTTTGGTCCAACTACTTCATTTGCACCCTTTCTACATCTATAAGGAGGACCCTATGGACGTGGTTTTGAATACACCATTGCATTGAGCATCCATTTTTCTCTTGCAATTCATCTTTCTTCCATTCTCATAACATTCCTTTGTAAAGGAAAAATTCCGTTGAAGTTTCGTCGTTCTTGTGGTTTGAAGTGCTGCTACCACAAGAGTGTATTTGTTGTATCTTCGGAGACATTTGCAATTCAAACGTGAGCACCGTAGCAGGGCAATTTGTCTTAAGGAAAGAATTATACTCGCTTCGAATATCTTTTTCTGCTCCTTATTTCATTTTGGTTTCATGTGGTCGGTTTAGTCATATACTTTGTATCCTTAAATTGTGTTCTAATTACGTTCCTGTAGGTTAGAACATTTGCTTACAATAATAGTGTTTCGACTACGCTCCTGTGGCTTGAAACTTTGTTCATTTACAATATATACAACCGTTATACCGCTAAAATAAGTACTTGGAACAACAATTATTTGCATACATTTTCAGTTCTTGCCAACAAATCAAGCTGAAAATACATTTGAACATGTGCAACAGAAGTTCTTATTAAAAGAAAGGATTTGCACGAAGCAGATGTGAGAACCATTATCCCAAAAGATCTAAGTTACTCCTAGGAAGTTAGGAAGTGTATAAAATGGACTATGACATATTCGAGGAGTGGGCTTCCAGACACGGTTTCTTCATTGTCCACATTAAACTAAATCAAAATCCAAATTGAGGTTTTACACCAACTCAAAATAAGGAAAAACAAAGAAGTAGACACCGTACTTGTAATTTTCGAGATGGCACCATACTTTGCGGCAACAACAGTTTCCTACAAAACAGTAAATAACCTTTGCAAAGCCCCTTGACTGTGGTTTCCCAGCACTAGTAATTCAACCTTTAGCTTTTCCACTGCTTCACATATGGCCTCTTTAGGATCTCCTGCTTCAATAATTGTCTCAACACTAAACTGTAGAAGAAAGAGTACCCATTTTAATTAGTAATTATCGTATATTTCGAATATACAAGAAATGCATTTATAAGCGTTGTAACATGTGGGTCATTTAGAGTGAAATATGTGTGTACTTGAAAAATAGGTCGATTCTGACGTAGAGTGGAACGGAGTGGGGTGAGATGAGTAAAGTGCATCGATCGCAATGGAGTGAGACGAGTAAAGCGCATCGATGGCAATGGAATGGAGTGGCACAAGAATACAGCAAAAATGTTGACAAAACCTGTTTCCATGGATAAGTCAAGTATTGCTTGGATTTGATTAACATCTAGGTGCTAGAGAAGAGGCGTCCCTACATATTGGTCATAGATGGAGTTCCCTAACTTATTTTTTTCATTGTTTTTACTAAGGTGAGAGTATTCAGCAAAGTTGATATTATTGTAGTATGCAGCTTATATAGAGTGGAACACATGTATGCTACAAATTAAGTCGATGCCTAAATGGAACATGTCCAAAATAAAGGATCAGACCCCGTGATCTCTGCAGATGTCCTTAACTTTTTCCAATAGAGCAATGGCAGTTTTCTTTAGATTTTCCTGGATAGTCTTTAAGAATTCTGGAGATGCAACACACAAAAAATACATCTTGAGGTATATTTCTAAGATCCAACAGTGGAAATTTTATGCAATAATCCTTCTAATTTGTCTGAAAAATAAAATCTAAACTAGATTGAAAACATTGGAGGTAGTTGATAAAATTAGAACAATCCAAAAAGACAATGAAAAGGGAGTATTTTTAAACGTGTAATGCAAAATATATTTTTAAAGTTATTAAAATGAGGAAAAATTATTAACCTATGAAAATTGCACAATTTGGTCCCTAATATTGTTCAAATAGCAAGTTAGTATCCAGTAATTAAAAATGAACAAATTGCTCACAACATTTCACCCATATTTGGTATAAATTATTTAAAACTCATTTTTAACCACGAATTCTTCCAACAAAACAATTTTTAACGTCAACTTACAATATTTTTTTTCTTTTTAACCACATATTCTTCAAAAATATTTTTTTTCCCCAAAATCTATTCTCAAAAATACTACATCAAACAAATCTTTCATTATAATAGTATAATTGATTTTCAGTGACGAGACTGTTCAGAAGTCTTTTAAGAGCTTGTTTGAGTCCTAACTTTTGCCCAAAATGCATTTTAAAATAGTATTTTGATGGAGAATGTATAGTTAAAAAAAATTTAGATTTATGTGTAATATTATTTTATTGAAGAATGTGTGATTAAAAATAAAAAAAAGACAAATGTATTTTGAAAATAATAGGGATTAAACAAGACTTAAATCATCACACTAACTTTACATATTTAACTTTACGAAGATAAAATTTTATCTCTTAACTTGAACTTATTGTTAGAAATTTGAAATGGGACATTCATTCATAAAAATCAAATGACGATTTAACAAATATTTAACAACTTTCATCATCGAAAATAAATTATACAACTATAATTAAAATTCGATAGCTAACTTGCTCCTTTAAAGTTTGAGACCAACTTACTGCTTATAAGATGAGTTAGAGGATGCAATATTTCCAACTTCATATTTATTGAACATAATTTCAGCTTAAGATTCAAAATTAAGGGTTCGTTTAATATGACTTTTACTTCTAGTAAAAGAATTTTTGAAGGAAACTATATTCGATCAACTTCCTCTAAAAGTTTTTCTATCTGGAAGAAATACTTTCATAAAATTATTCTAATGAGTTCAAAAGCTCTTTTTAACTTTTCAAAAACCCATGACCTACCCTAAATATTTTGACTTCGCTTCTCCTTATTTTGAATGGTCATTTTTTAAACAATTATTATTGCATCTAAAACGTTACCCTAAAATTTCATTTGAATATAAAAACATTGTTTTATAAGAAATTGTTGGGAAATGTAGAAAATTTATTTTTGATTTTTGTTGTAGAATTAATTTTTCTTTGATGTTATTACTAGTCAATAATATTGTTACTAGTCAATACAGAAAGGTCTACATGGAGACCTCATATGCATACACATGGCGAGCACCCAAAAATTGGTGTAGAATGGACTAACGTTCAAAGCTGTCAAAGGAAGTGCCGAGATTGTTGTACTAAGTTGATTCGAGATGGTTCGCCTTCTGCTGCCAAACCACTCTACCACCTAAAGTCCTTGACAAACAAAAGAGCGTCAGACAAGCACGTCTTCAAAGTTAACTGATGTGACATGCGTAGTTAATAAGTGTTAGGAATGTCAGACTAGCTTATAAAGTGGCTGACTCTTCTCAAAAGTCTATCAATGTAATTAAGAGACAACGGAGTTGATGTAACAGTTAGGATCGACAGATCAAGCCACATGGATCTAATCCTACAGTGACCACGTCGACCTGATCACCATAAATAGGAAATTCTTGTATCAATTGAGAGGGTTTGGAAAAATATAGTGAAGGGAATAATATACTTGCGTTATCCACTATTCACCTTCTTCCACAAACATTCATATTTACAGTAGAAATACTACATAATACGTCCACGTGTATATTATCTTGTATCAACACCTGTCTACTATTTTCGAGAGTCAATAGATTGGCGCCATCTATAAGAAGTTTGAAATAGCTAAACCACGAAAATCCAATTGAGGAAAAATTTGAGTTTTGAAAGGAGAAACCAAAAAGGAAAAATCCTTGAATAAAGGAAGACAACTCCTGGCCATGAATCCGAAGAAGGAAAGAATCACGCCAAATAGACCAAAGAACATGTTGGTGAGGAGACATCCTCACAAAATGCCCCAGTAATCCAGGAGCCACTGCCAACCGCCCCAGTGGTCTGCCACCAAAGAAGTGGCTCAAGGAGTAGGCCCAGGCTTGTAGCAGGGCTAATCAGAGAGATGGCTGCCGTCATCGCAAATATGAGAGTCATCTTCTGGCAAAATGCTGCAATGCGTAAACTACTAGGCGCATGCAAAGTCAACTAGCCAAATCCTCCCAAAATGAGGAAGTCATTTCCAGAGAAATACAGGTAAATGTGGACACAGTTACCAATTACGACACCAATCAAATAACTCAGGAGGCTGTCGTTCTTTTAAAAGCCAGTTGGGATAATGCACCAAGAGGACAGGCTAGTGTCTTCGATAGGCTTGGTCCTACAAGAGACAGAGAAGGCCGACCCCCCATTCTACCCGCTTAAACCGGGCGCCCTCCTATTTCCTTGAACAAACCACATCTATTCAATTCTTTTTCAGAGGAAAATCAACATGGACAACTTCAGCCAAAAACTGCAGATGAGCTCGCTCTTAGATACATGCATCCCCCATCTAGAAATAGGCAGGAAAGACGAGCTGCATCAGTTCGGATGTGGACCTACCAAAACTGATCATGCAAGAGGAAAATGCTCAAGGCCCAGAGAAGCCCTCTCGTAGAAAAAGGCACTAAGACATATAACTATCAAGCCGGACTTCGCAACCCCGGCCGACATGAGTCGACCTTCTTAGGATGTCGGTGAAGTAAGGACACAGACCCCACAGAAAAGTGATATGCTATCTTTCCTATCCCATCCAAAAGATAGAGATAGAAGACAGAAGTCATAAACACCATCCTCATGAAAAAGGTTGAAAGCCTCATTCGAAAGAAGAGCGCCAATTTTGGCCGCCTCAAATTAGCTCATCTTGCAGAAAGAGGTGCTAAAATATATAATTGCCGGGGCAGGCCCCAATGACATCGGACAACAAAATATGACCCATCGACAGCAGTCGCTGGAAAGTAAGATTTGTTCTCCTCTCTACTCAAAGCAGCTTAACCATAAGCCTCACAGAATTATATTGCCTAAGAAAGTTTGGGCACAAAAGGTAAAGGCCGATCTCCCCATCCCGAGGCTAAAACTTTGGTCCCATCCGAATAAGAAAATCAGAATGGGTCAAAAGTCGTACCCCGACCATATATACGTAACCCAAAATGAGCTATGCAAAATAAGCTTGTTCAAAGAAGAGATGAAGATGAAACCACCTCGGCCGAGATATCAAATGCAAAAAAAGAAAGGCCCCATATGGAGTCACACCTAAAATATGCATACACCCTGAAAAGGAAGACTATGCACTAACTATCAAGTACAAAACCAAAAAGACACGCACGAAGATTTGAGAACTAAGGAGAATAAGGATCTCAGCTCCCTTCATAATGTATTCAAAGAGGACAGCGTCGGCAAACAACCTCATCTCCCCCAAGGACTTTGAGCAACATCTTCTGTAAAGGCCTGTGAAAATTTTCATTAAGTTATGTCTTGTTTCTAGAATCTCGTTGTTTTAACATCTACTGTATAATTAGAAATTACTAGATAGCTTGTATATAACAATTACGGCTAGCATATTTTACTACCTATCATACCGATCTTATTGTCGTGCATGTTCATTTACACTGTACTCGGACATCAGACATGACCTGGTCCACTCTACGAAGAAGAGACTAATGAAGCCTTCAGCAAAGTGCATGGCACTTTCTGAGATAGTTCCTTTGAAGGAACAAGAAAAATGTATAGCTCATAGAGGCACTTCAGAATATGAGCTGAAAAGCGTCTGCAATGCTCAACCTAAGAAAGGGCATATCGGTAAAAGAAGTGGGAGCTCGAAAATGTCCCCCTCAGAAATAAAAATTCGCCCAAAGGGCAGAATAACGCAAATGATCGGACCCTACAAAACTTTCCTCTTGAAGGCACAGAAGTTTCCTACAAAAGGATAAGAAAATATAGAACTACCCAAAACCAAGCAAACCCTCGCACCAACTCCCCTCAAGATCCACCAAGCATAAATACAATTTTTTGTCATATTGCAAAGAATCATCATGGAGCAATTCGCACTAGTAAATGAGTGTTCAAGCAGGAATGAGCCTTTTTATAGGCAAACGCATAGGTTTTTTACCGTCAGATCTTAAAAATCTAGACTGTCCAAATTCGGGGCACTTATAGGCCACTCGATAAAATCGACGCTTCAGCTTTAGGGCCCAGATCGAAACACGTGGCAATGCCTTGAAAATTGAGGGCTTCGCACTCCTCGAGAAGACTGAACGTCAACATAGCAACTTGTGTCAATAAATGATAAAAGATGATCCAACTACCCGAATCCCCTCAAGCATCATAATTTCAGATGCACAACAAAGACAACTAATCATTACAGCACAAAAGACCCTTCACATATTTTCACGCTGACCCTATCCAACCCCTCTCTATGACACTTACAACCTCGACAATAGTGCTGCACAAAAGTACCTCGGACTACATCTTAAAGTACTTCGGTTCTACTATGAAAGCACCTCAGTTGATCCCCCTCGAAAGCCCCAAACTGAACTGAGGAACTATAAGCTCAAAATTCAATGTCAACACCCTCTCACGGATTCTAATTCCCACATCAATGTTGGTAAATTAGACTTGGGGGACTGACATCCATTAGGAATTTCTTCTCTTGGAACTTTTCTTGGAAACTTCGAAATTAATTACAAATTCTACGTACCACATAAATGATCGAATATAGAGTTGGGGACTATTGTTACTAGTAAATACAGAAAGGTCTACGTGGAGACCTCATATGCATATACATGGCGAGTACCTAAGAATTGGTACAGAAGGGACTAACGTTCGAAGCTGTCAAAGGAAGTGTTGAGGTCATTGCACTAAGTTGATCCAAAGTGGTTTGCCTTCTATCATTGAACCACTCTACTACCCGAAGTCTTTGACAAACAGAAGAGGGTCGGACAAGCGTGTCTCCAGAGTTGATTGATGTGACGTGCATAGTTAATAACTGTCAAGAATGTCAGCCTAACTTATAGAGTGGCTGACCTCTTGTCAAAAGTCTATCAATGTAATTAATAAATGACAGAGTTGATGTAACAGTTAGGGTCATTAGATCAGGCCATGTGGATCCAATTCTACGGTGACCACGTCAGTCTAATCAATATAAATAGGGAATTTTTGTATCAATTAGAAAGCTTGGAAAAATACAGGGAAGGAAATAATATACTTGCGTTGTCCACTATTCACTTTTTTCATAAACATTCATATTTATAGTAGAAATACTACATAATACACCCACGTGTATATTATCTTGTATCAACACCTTTCAACCATTTTCAAGGGTCAACAGATGAAATAAATTTAATATATAAATAATGAATATTTTCAATTTATTAAAGAATTAACATAATTTTCTTGTGCATAAATGTTATGTTTCTTTTTTTTTTTTTCCCTGGCCTTTTGATATTGGTAGGCGATACTGATATTAGAGATAAGAGCTGACGTTTAACTCGCTTGCTTTTATCTTGATTTTGTCTATTGATTAATCAATGCTGACGTTCAAATTATTTTAAAAATAAAAATATATGTGATATATTAATCAGTTTTAAAAATCGAACTAGCCACTGATTGAATGATGAAGAGGTCCAATGATAAAAAGTCAAATATGATCGGAAAAAAAAAAAAAAAGAAAGATTATTTGCTTAATTCATAAAAAAAGTATTTACTCTAATATGAAACACTTTAGTCAAATTAACTGCATTTTCTTCTAATATTGTTTTGAGCCCCATTCATATCAAAATGTATTTTTCTCTCTCTTTTTTTCAATCACACATTTTTTAATAAAATAATATTACACAAAAAAAAAACCCCAAAAGTAATTATAATGGGGCTAAAAAAGGGTCCCCTTATCAAGACAAATCCTACTCACTGCCAATGCATTTAAAGCCCTAATCCCTTTATACCTTTTAGACTCCTGAGTATTATTCCTTTATCGAAATAGCAACGTAATTTTTAGGTTTTTTATTGAATTCAAAAACAAATTTCTTAAAAATCCCTAATGTTTATTCTCAAAGGTGAATGTAATTTTTCAACAGAATCGTTGCTGACATTTTCTTGCAGTGCATGTAAGCAATAAACACTGATAAATTCTTTCTTTCTCTGAGCACCTTCTTCATCAATATAATTATTTTATTCATTATTTACGAGTGAAACTATGATTTCTCTTTATTTTGGGCTGAATTGATAACGATCTTACAGTATAAATAGGATAGTACCTTGTGATGATACATGGCTCAATTTTACGAATTTCTTTGATACAAAGTAGATAGATACACATTTGATTTAACTAAAGGGGAAATTCCATGTTTAACAAATTGGAAGAACATTCAAAATTTTGAGACTTATCTACAAATCAATTTGCGGGACCTGAAATTATTCATAATTATCTTCCACATAATATCATGGTGACATTACTGTAGGTGATAAACTTTTAATGCATTTGACAAGGATTTAACACTTGATCAAAGTCACATTGATGCACCAATATTATGGCTGTGTTAGAACAAAATAAATCATTAGGACAATTTTAGCATCTGGACATTTACAAATTGTCTAGATTCTTTTGGCTATTGTTAATGTCTTATTAGACCTAATCTGACATCATTTCTCCCTGTACTAAAGTCAGCATTAGCAGCACCCTTTCCGTCCAATATTCAGCAAAAGAAAATAGTAATTACCAATCTATTAACAAATAGTAAATTAGTACACGAAGAGGTCGACGTTTGTTATTCATGAATTCTGCATTATAAGGCATAATCAAGTATCTTTTATTGAGGATGACGATATAGATAAGTGTATGTATACATTGGACAAGCATATGATACAATAGAAACTAAGATAGAAAAGGCCAAAAGGCTTGGGACTGGAGTGGACCTCCATAACCTTCTCCTACAAGTTTCTCCATCCCTTGTGCATCATATCCAGTTGTTCCCTGCTGTTAAACCCATTCCAACAGTACAATATCAACATTAAAGTCCAACTTTGGAATTTAATATGGTAAAATGGAAAATTATATTTTCTTTCCTGCAGTTATTAATTTGAGTAAATATCTTCTAGGATGAATGTAGATTTGACAATTGTTAGGAGCCGAAATAAAAATTGTGCACATAGAATTGAGTTCCATTCAATCATGTTACGAATTCAATGTACCAAACACACTGAAAAATGTTTTACCTGCATTGTTTCGACAACTTCTGCCTCAGATGAGTTGAAATCGTAGAATAGACTTGCTGCTGATAGTTTCATTGAAAGAAACTAGAGAAAAGATGTATAAATAAAAATAATTATTTAAAAGAGAATATAAACTAAGACGTATTCTATAATCAGATTGACTCGATAATTTAGAATCTTGATAAGTACAATCTTACATCAATTTGATTTTGCAGTGATCTGACATAATTTATGATCACTTCCAACATCACAGCCATCCCCATTGTCTACAAAAAGAAAAATAATAAATAAATAAAATAAAATAAAATTAACTTTTCCAAATAAATTTGGGTTGGCTATATATGAAATTATTTTCAGCCATACCCGTCTATATATTGTAACATCTAAAGTTATTTCTATCAAAATATAAAATCCTGCAATCATTAGGTTTTCCATGACCATAATGGGGAAGAAAAAAAGGAACTGAAAATGAAGGCCTTACCTTGTAACACCCTGGAACAAGGTCTTGCAAGCATCTCAGCCTTTCATTTATCTTCTCCCTTCGTAACTATAATTAACACAAAAATCTTCTCATTTTCATATTGTTGTAGATAATTTTCTGGGTCTAGAGTATGAATTTATGCGAACAGATAATCGGTTTGTGAATAAACATGCATGGTATTTTCTTGTACTGAAATTTGAAAATGAAAAATCAATAACCAAAACAAACCCTTTCAGCCAAACTGTGGCTATCAGTAGCTTGCCCTCTCTTTGCTCTGACATGAACAACTTCCCTAGGTTTCTGAGAGTCAGTCCCATCAATTCTCTTTCTTTTCTTGCCACCATAATTCTGTGATCATATGATTCATATCTTAATAATTATAACTAATATAAATGCAGGATCTTGCTTGATATAAAGGGCTAATGACAGAATAAATATTGATAACTTATGTGAAAAGAGATACATACTACATAATTTTTGCTGGACTTGTTAGCTCCGACTGAACCAGTTCCAGATACTGATGGTGAATACTTAAGCAGTATATCAGATTCCGGTCCGACGTTTATGTTTTTGCATCCATGGCTTAAACTTCCATCTGACGGAAAGAAATTAAGCACTTCCGGATCATATACCGGAAAGTGGACCAAAGGATGAATGGTTCTTGAAAATTCCTCATTCAAAGTTGGGGGAATTAGTCGAGGTTGATGATCAGAAAACCCTTCATTGTACAAAGGCATGTTTCTATGAAAATTTGGGTTGAAACCCTCCATTTCACTCAGGTTGTTTAATAATTCCTTGCTGTTTGGGTTCATTTCTGGGAAGAAGATTTAGGGTTCTCAAGGTCTACCATAAACTCTGCAAGTCCAAATGAAGCCTTTTAGGTTTTCATATGGTATGTTTGGATAGCAATGTTATATAAGCTTTTGCTGGAGGTGGATATTTTTTATTATACAAATAATCTCATTGGCACAACAAATTTTTAGTTACAATGAAATAATGTACAACATGAACTGCAGAATGTACAACCTTTTAGTATCATTTGATACAGAAGAAATGATATTAGTGATTTTTTTTTCTTCATTTTTTTGCCCCCTTTTTTATGGGGAAGTACTTTGTGGACGTTATTTCTTAGTGGATCCACATCCATATTGATATATCAAGTAAGTGGTACTACGTCACGTCTTTCATTAAGTATGATACAAAATAAGAATGATCATAATTATTTATCACTGATTTTGGAAATGACAGAGTGCTAATTAATCTTTGATAATTCTGGCAATTTATGACCGCTTATTCATCACTGGTAGGAATCCTCAGTTTCTTCTACTTTTATTGACATATTTATTTTGGAAGATAGGGTACCGGGAATCGTGCTAAATAGTAAATATGTCATTGAAGGTGTTACAATTGAAATAATGGAGGTTAGTTTAATATGATTTTAATATAATCTGAAAAAATAAAAATCATTTTACTTGAGAATTGACTTGGATCAAGTTCAGAAATGACTCAAGATTGAGTGAAATGGCTTCCCTCAACAAGAGCATTTGATACATCTCGTGTGGACCAACACGTCGCAGTTGAGTTTCAAGTGCATAATGACGTGATTAATAAAATGTGTGAGTTACTATGTTATGTGCGTCCAGTTCAATGTAGAGAGTTCATTATAAAATATTTTTTTCATGCTATTATAACTGAAGTGGTATTCTTATAACAGTCGAGTATTAGCAATACATATGGTTCTAAATCATTTTTTACAAATGAATATTATGCTCCAATTAATCTTTCTTATTAACAAATTCTTTTTGGTAAGTTTTGAAGTATCTATGCAAGGGCTTATTCGCCTAACTTTATAATAATCAGACCATGAGAGATTTTTATTGTGGAAATTACACCCACTCATATATTTTAAGATCCAATTTCAAAAATCAGATCTAAGGTTTGTTTATATAAAAATCAAATATTAATTCAACATTAATAATAAAATTAATTCCAAGTGACCCTGAGTTCCTTGATGTTCCCATCCAACTTCCTACATCTCTCTCTACCTCCTGTCGACACGGCAATTGCAAGCAAGCGAGGTGACTGGTTGCTTTGCGGCGGCGCCAGGTTGCTATGAACTCTCAATGAACGGTCTTCTAGCTCCTGATCTGAGAGCGGCGTTAAGTAGGATTTTTGTGGTTTCCGCTGAAGAGCGTGTCTATGGTGGCATTCTAGTTTTGGATCTGATTTGATTTGAGCACAACCGCACACTACCATTGGTGTTTTGGTTTTGTAACAGCATTGTGGTGATGGCATTTGTGGATCTGATTTGTCGGAATTTTTTTGGCAGCTGTAGAGGTAGTTTTGTCGAATCTTGTTGGTCGCAATGGTTTGGTGGTGGTTGTGGTGGTGGTGGTGGTTTTGTTTGTGTTTGGACAGTGATTGATATGCCTGTAATCCGATGTTTAGGTGGCAACGTTGTATCTTGTTGGTAGTGGTGGTGGCGGTGGTTTTGTCGGTGGTAGTAGTAGTGGTAGTGTTAATGATGTGATGATAGTGGTAGTTTTGAAGTTGAAAATGATATTGTATAAGGTGGCGACGGAGATGGTGGTGTTGGTGGTTATTGTTGATACAGGTGGTGGTGGTAAGTGACCGACTGCAGATTTGGGGATTTTTTTGGTGGGGGTTGTGGTTGTGGAGTGGAGGTGGTGTTTGTAATGATGGTTTTGTTGTCGGGAGATGGTGGTAATGGTTTTAGCGATGGTGTTTTGTTTTGATGGCGATGAGGCTGGTGGGAGTGGTAAGGTGATGGTCACAAGTTTTGGTGGTGGTCAAAATGATTTGATTGTTTGTGATCAATAAATTAGTTAATGTGTGACCAATAAAATCGATAAATTGTAACCAATAAATAATGTGTGACCTAAAACTTTGTTAATTTGTAATCAATAATTTGATAAGTTGTCACCTAAAAAATAATTTGTGACTAATTAATTAGATATTTTGTGATCATAAAATAAGTTGTGACATTTAAAATTGTGATTTGTAATGAATAATATGTGACCTGTCAATTTGATAAATTTGTAATTGATAAGCAAGTTGTTACCTATAATTTTTTTTATTTATGACCATGAAATAATTTGTGAGCTATAAATTTTTTTATTATGATCGAGAAATAATCCGTGATTAATTAATTCGATAATTTATGACTAAATTGTATAGAATTGCATTTAATTAATTATTTTATGAATAAAATCTGATTTTCGAAATTTTAAACCTTATTTCTTAGTTTTGAAATGTGGTATACTTAGGCCATGTTTGATTGGCCATGAATTTCATGGAAAATGTAAAATGAATTTCATTTTCCAATTTTTTTGGTGTTTGATAAGACATTTTTTCCATGGAATTTGATTTCCTTGTTTGTCTTGGAAATTGTGTTTTTCTTGGTTTTCTAATCCATTGTTCACGTTTTGTTTTGTTTTGTTTTTTTCTTTTGGCAATGGAAACAAATTCTAAGAATTATTGTAAAAAAATATTTTCCTTTAATTGACAACGTGTAAAACAAAGTCAAACGAACACTAAAGGATAGATGATTTTCTCATTTTTGTTTTTTTTGCTGGTAATGGAAACAAATTTCATCCCCAATACAGTTAAATCTCGATAAAGTAATGTTCGATAAAGGAATAAACTCGATTATATAATAATTTCTTTCGATCCCGACTTGGGCCAATGGACTAAAGTAATAACCTCGCTAAATGCATTAAGTAATAAAAAAAAATTGAATCCT